GCTGTATGTCGCACTAGTGGCCTATCCTTGAGAATGCGTTCTATTTGTGTCATCGTTTTGGTGTGAACTTCATCGGTTACAAGCGAATAGTCCAGCGTCAGTAACATTGCTCTTCTAACCGAACGAATAAGTCTTTCTCAAACCCCACCTCAATGGCTGGCCTTCGGCGGATTAAATGGCCATTCACAATCTTTCGACAGTAACTCATCTGTGATCTCTGATTGGTCCCAGGACTTGATCGATTTTCTGATGCCTTCTTCTGCATCTCGAAAATTAAGCTGTACAGTTTCCGTGGATTCCCTCTTCTAGAGCTGAATCTAGAATAATCACACAGAAACGAGTCCGTATCCATACATTGAGCAACTTCTATATGCACGGCCCGCATCGTAAAACATGTAAAGATACAAGCGCATCGCTTTTCCGTAACACGACCTCTCTTCACTTGAAAGGGTCCGAAATAATCAAGCCCGGTGATGGCAAAGGGTGGTTCATGCATTGCTAGCCTATCCAGGGGCACCGGGTCCATCGCCTGTTGGCAAGGGCGCGAAACCCTACGTTTGCAGTGGAAGCAGTCGCGTAGGACCTTACGAACATTACTTCGCACTTTCACAACCCAGAATTTTCTCCGCAGGCCTGTTATAGTTTGTTCTAATCCACAATGTTCAGCCATATGATGTGCGTGTTTATTGATCAATTTAGTCACAAAATTACCAGATGGTAGTAACAATGGATGTCTCATCTCGAAGGGAAGGGGTGTGAAACGTAACCTTTTGCTAATACGTAGAACTCCACCCGTTAACACGGGAGCTAAGTTACGTAATGGTGAGTTTCTTAATAGTGTCGTAGTTGATTTAGAGCTGTCCTGCGCGGTGTTTCTCCGCAACGCTTTGATCTCATGTTCGAATACTCGACCTGGCACTAGTTTAACAATATCCGTTTCTGCACGTAACCAATCGGAAACTGATAACCTTCCACTTGGACATACTGACCGTTGATTGAGCTTCGAAGATATGTACACTTTGAACCGAGAGAGCCAAGCGAAGTGTTTCTTCATTTTTATCTAATCAGTCACATGAGAAAACTTCGACAAGAAGAAGCACTGATCATTCGTTACAAAGGAAAATGAGCATACTTTTGGCAGGTCATCAGGTTGTGATACGTTCTCGCCCGTCGTAGACCAAATTTCGTCGGTTCTCTTGAGGAATGATGGCCCCCCGAACCAACTCGATATTTTATGTCTGTCCGTCGGTAAGATTCCTCTAGAAGCGAGGTCGGCAGGGTTTTCCTTGGAATTCACATGCCGCCATTCATGAACTTGGGTATGTTCATGCGTCTGAACCAGCCGAATTGCCACGAACATTGGAAACCGTTTTGATCGATTTTTTATACTGTGAAGCACAATCATGGAATCCATTCAATAGTACGTAGCGTTTATCGTGAGTCTTAGTTCGCGTCGTACCGCGGTGACCAGCTCGGCTTGTGGGATCGTGATTGAGTTCAATTAAGTTACTCTGGAATTTGGTATAATTAACGAACAGAATACTCCCGTAAGTGAGATATCAAACCGAGATGATAAAAAAAAGATGATATGTATGACAACAGAGAACGACAGGTGTATTTTGCAGGCATAGAGCGCAGACAGAAACCTAGTGCATGACTCTTTGTGTTCGAAATTATGCCCAAGGTTTTCTGCGTATCGTCTATGTCTCGATCGAGCTCTATGGGCTTTGTATCTTCACTGTTATCGATCTCATTGATGGAAATCCCTAATGCGTTGCTTGTCCATTTCGCAAGTTCGAAGCCTTTAGGTTTCAGCAAGCTCTTTGTGTTTGTACTATGAAATTTAGCCTCTGCAACGCTATCAAAACTCGCCAAGTAATCGTCAACATAGAAATGTTCTAAGGAATCTGGCAGATACGGCGAACCGATATCCCCGTTAGTTTCATCGAGAGCAACTTTCAAGACAAATGATACACAACTGGGAGAAGATTTTGCTCCGAACAGGTGTACGCACATTCTACAATCGATCGGTGGGCCACTCATATTGCTAACGTCAAACCATAAGAACCTCAAAAATCCTGCTCTTCATCAGGTACACGAACCTGATGGAACATTGCTTTGATGTCAGCAGAAACTGCGATTTTTCTTTGACAAAAGCGAATTAGTACACCACACAAACTGTTAGTCAAATTGAGTCCGATTAGTAAATTATTGTTCACTGAATCGTTCCGGAACTGGGCTGCATAGTCGAACATGATCCTGACTTTATCGGGTTTCATGGGATGCAGCACTGCATGATGATTGGCCTCAAGAATCGCGAAGACGAGTAGCATGTCCATCGGAAGAATAGCCTTCCATCGCCTCGCAGTATTTTGGTTTTAGTTTTGGATGCTTACTTAGATGATTCACGAGGTTTTTAGACGCGACACAGCCATCGAGCAGTTATCATGATGGTGAGGAAGTCGTTTCCAAGGGAAGGCGACCTCAAAGCGAGTGCCGTCAAATTTCAGAGATCGTTTAATTACTGATAAAGCGGTTTTGTCGTCTAAGGACATTTCCTTGGCTCTCCTTTCTTTTGGTTTCTTGAATTCACTGTCGTACAGACGTTGTATTTGTCTCTCTAAATCGTTTACTATCGAGGCATAACACCATTTGGCTGATGAACGTGAAGTTGAACCCGTTAAGCTTCATCCCAATACTGTTTTGACAGCGTAAGGCTCCTCGATGTTTCCCAAACGCTGTTCTCATACCCAATGGGCCGCGGGAACATCAGAACCAATTATCAAAGGCATGGGAAAATTTGACACTGCAGATACTCCCATGACTTTAATTCTTCCGTCGTAGGCAGAACTCTTTCCATTTTGGGAAGTCGGTTTATCGTCCAAGCTCTTTTTATCAGGATGGTGTTTGATCCGTCACAAGATTGGACCAAAAATGAAGCTTCAACCGCCGAGTTTTTATTGGTCCAGGAAACAGTTTTGATAGATAAGGACGTGCGTTTCCTTATTGCTCCAAGCCATTTCTCTTATCCTTCTTCGATCAAAGTGCAATTAGATCCGTTGTCCAAAAACACCAAGATTTGGATAAATGTGGTTCCACATCGAACTCTGACCGGAATCACGCAAAGCGCAACCGCGTTTCCTTTCTCTACTTCCTCTTCCTTCATTTGATAGTGTACATTAGCCTCTTGCAGAGAGAAGAGCTCCGTCGACAAATAGAGTAGGACATGATGGGCCTCTCCCTAATTCTCTGACGTACATAGACCCCGATAACGACACGACTGAGTATTAAGGTTTGGTTTCAAACATATACGACATAATCTTCTCTCGTTTACGCAATAAGACGTTGTTCCGGAAACAACCCGAGGAACTTGGTCCACTGATCGAGATAATGTGCTTGTTTACACATGGGACAACATATCTTTGGAGAAACAGCTAAAACTTCGTTGTGGTTCTTCTGAATGGCCAGGACTGTAGATTTGCAACCAATCTCAAACCTTGAAGTCCTTTGCTTCCTTGGTGATGAATGAGTGGTAACCAGAACACTAAAGTTTGAGTTCCTTATCTCGGATTGACGTTCAATAAATGCACGAAGATGGGTAAACCGAGGTTCATCTTGTTCTGATGTCAAATCTGTGGCTACTTCAGCCCACTTGAGTTGTGAAGTCCTTGGCAATCGTCGGACAATACACTCCAACGTTCTAATAATAATAATAATGGTATATTTCACGGAGCCCCGTGAAGCATGCATAGGCATGATCAACTGTACAACAATTTTAAAATGGCAGTGGAAGCAGAAAGTAATAGTACAGAGTGTAAGAACTTAATTTGCAAACGGGTACGAAAGATATCATAATTATTAATGTGTATATTTTACGGAGCCCGCTAGATATGCACATGGCATGAGCAAATGTTCAGAGCGAGTATATGTACAATAACAGTGTGAGTACATAGGTAGACAATAATAATGGTGGGGATCAGAACAAAAAGACAGTGTGAAAGGAACACTAACCGGACAAGGTCACCGAGGAATTTATGAAAGATGGAGGATGCATTGAAGATGCATGTCACCAGAACTGAAAGTAATGGTAAAGCTGGTCTCGGAAGGATTGGCCGTACGGTAACAGTGTGGGAAATACGAAGAGGTCTGTGGAACAAATGCTGCCCGATGATGGAGGCATGAGGACAGGAATAGAAAGGAAGGAATACAGCCAGAATAGTACGTCGATAAAAGAACATGTTTCACTTTATGCTGCAATACAACTCGCTTCTGGAGACAAGTTCATTGGGTTCGGGGCTTTAATCGATCAAGGAGTGATTTGGATCATTTAGATTAATTAGGCGTTGGTCGCTTTGATGTGGGACTGACTACACGCTAGATACCTAACCTTAAATCACCTTGTAGGTGAGGCAGGGGGTGTGATTCACAATCTGGTCCGGAACGCGGATGCATGTAGTCAAAACGGTGGAAACAGCCGTGTCCAACAATCATTGCCGGAGCCAAATTGTCCATTGTGGGTGAGGACCCCAAGCCTTCGGGAGGCCCAAGACAACCGAATCTGGAACAAAGAGGCGGTAGGCAGCAGTCTGGGGTAGTACCCAGCTGAAGAGGGAAGAGAGAGGGGGAAACGGAGCATGCGGCGGAACAACACTAAAAATAAGTGCACATCTTGCACGTTCTGCTAGAATGATAGGGTACCGGAGTGAATATAGACGTNTAAATCGCTTATGACAGTGCGTACCAGAGTTTTAAATTCCACAAATCCAGTTTGGAAACGGATTCCGTGTACTCTTAGGAATTGGTTGCAAAAGTGGGCACAGCTATCTGGTTAGCTCATACCACGGAGGGGGACCGAGGGAATTGAGTGAGAATGATTCGAGGAATATCTTGCTTACTAGATATTAGGTAGCAATACTTGTACGAGGGACAGATTCATCGAGGACAATATGTGTAGAAAGCAAAAGTGAAAATCAAAAAGTTAGAGAGAACCTGTCTGAAGTTTAGAGACATTCAGCAGGCAAGATACCAGACAGAAGAGGATCAGGTGGGAGAGGCAGGATAGTTAAAGTTCTGTTAGCATTCATGTCAGACTCGTAATTCGATTGCGTTAGTGTGGCCTCGCATACCCTCATCTGTTGAGTCATCGGCATCAGACTCAGGTTGTCATTGATATGTATAGGTGCTCCATCTGTAATGAGAGCACGAGCAATAATGTGGTTTTGCCCGAAACGCTTCTTCAATGTTTCTTTGGCCTTTCTGTAACCCACCTGACCATCTAAGATCACTAATTCTTCAATGGCTTCCTTTGCTGGTCCTTCACAAAACTGAATGTGATGGACCAACTTTGCATCATCGTCCATTGGGAGGTAATCCATCGAAGGTGAGAAACAGCGCATAAATGACCAATATTTCGAGGGATCCCCTTGGAATTTTTGGATATCTTTCTTAGGTAGGTCTGCGTGTAGCATTGGGCGTACAGGGCGGAATGATTAAGACTTGAAGGTCAATGGGTCTTTACCCTGCTTCAGTTTCTCTAACTCTCGTTCCTTCTCCAAAAGCGTTATGCGCAGTCTTGTTAACTCTATGTCTCTTTCCTTTCCTTTCTCTCTTTGTTCCTACATATTCCTTTGGGTGCATTCGCATCATCACTATCGGACGTAAATAACTCACCATTGATGAGATTTTACAGGTGTCTCTATCTTGATAACTGTAAAGCCTACTTCAGTTATGTCCAGTCCAAGACCATAATTAGAGGGGCGGTCGGGAACGTCCAAAACGAGGACGGGGTTGGAACCAAATCGAATGTTGAAAAGGCGGACATTTTCCGCGTTATTTAGCAAGAGTTCACCAACCGGATAGAGGGGGAAATCCCCAAACCCCCTTAGAGCGGGAAATACCCACGATGACCGAAGTCGTCGACACTGAAGACGAAGTAAGGGCTCAAATGCAGGCGCTGAAGAGCACCAAGGTAACGGGACTCGATGACATCCATCAGGCCTTCCAGAAACCACTGGCTGGGGGTGCTTGCAGCACCGCTAGCAAAATTTTTTAACAAATCCCTCCATGAAGGGCAGCTGCCGGGAGACTGCAAGGTGGTGAAGGTTGTCCCCATACACAAAGAAGGAGACAGAAACCAGGCAGCAGACTATCGCTCGATTAGCTTAACCTCGGTAGCACTAAAGATATTAGAAAGGCTACTGGGGGACAAGGTGGTGGCTCATGTTGCACGCCATCATCTGCTAACAGCTAGCCAGCATGGGCTTGTGAGGAGGAGATCCTGTCTCACGAATCTACTGATGTCTTTAGATGACATCACTAACAGGCTGAATAAAGAGAAGAGGGTGGAGGTCTGGTACCTGGACTTCTAAAAGGCCTTTGACTCTGTGTACCGCAGGCTAATGCTCCTGAGATTTAAGACCTTCAAAATTCACCCAAAACGGCTTGCATGGACGGAAGATTTCTGAGAGGAAGATCTTTCCATGTTAGTATAGAAAGGTCCAAACTGAGGGAAGGCAGGATAGCAAGTGTAGTTTAGCAGGGGTCCGTTTTAGGCCTTCTCCTATTCCTAGTCTATGTAAACGACTTGCCGAAGAGGTTGAAGAACCCAGTTTACATGTTCGCTGACGACTTGAAACTAATAGGTTCCACCTCAAACCGGTCCATACAGAGGGATTTGGATACGGTCATACGCTGGACTGAAGACTGAGAGCTACCGCTTAATGTGGCAATGTGTAGCCCATACAGACTGAAGGCACAGGCTCGGTGAGGTGGATTACCACTGAGAATACAGTGGAACTCCAAAGGAGTGAGGAAATGAGGGACCTGTGAATTCAAGTCACCAGTATTTTCAGATCAGGGAAGCAGTGCCTACAGGTAAACAGCGCTCTGCACCAACTGCTGAGAACAGTTGTCTCGCGGGATCTAGAGGTGTTGGTACCCCTATATAAAGTGTGAGACCAAACTTGGAATAATGCATCCAAGCGTGGTTGTCATACCTGGAGCGGGACAAGAAGGTCATAGAGGCGGTGCAACTTAGGTTCACGAGGTGCTTCCCCCATCTTAGGGGCCAAGACTACTGATACGCGTGCTCCACTATTCACTGCCAATGACAAGGCGGCATTACGTGGACACTCTTTGCAATTGTCAAAAGAGCCTCCCTGACTGGAAGTTTGTGTACAGTTTCTAACAAACCTTGTGGTGAACAGCTGGAACAAACTCCCAGTAATCAAAACAACGAATGTGATAAGCTTCAGGCATAAACTGATTGACTGTATTCCTTGATTTGGAGTGATCAGTGCAAGGTGAACCATAGACCATCCAGGGAATCCCCAGGTGAAATTTAATCTCATATCTTGTTTAGTTTTCCTTTTCCCTATCATCCTTCTAGTTTGTGACAAATAACTTTTATTTGCTTTCTTTTATGAAATAAAACTCATACGTTGTCCTAGTCTTGATTTACACCTTATACTTACCGCCGGTAGAGCGTGCCTGGCTTGAATTTCTCGCATAGAAACCGGTTCAAGCG